GTGTGTGTGTGTGTGAGAGAGAGAGAGAGAGAGAGTTTTCATCGATAGGGCTAGCCTCACGCTACTTTCATCGATAGAATGACGGAAATCGAATGAATCTTCCGCTACAGCGTGAAAATATATACTACTGCACTCGGGCGTGTGTGTGTGTGTGTGTGTGTGTGTGTGTGTGTGTGTGAGAGAGAGAGAGAGAGAGAGAGAGAAAGAGAGTGTGTTCCATCGATAGGGCTGGCCTCACGCTACTTCGATCGATAGAATGACTAAAATCGAATGAATCTTCCGCTACAACATGAAAATGTATACTACTACACTCGGGCGTATGTGTGTGTGTGTGTGTGTGTGTGTGTATGTGTGTGTGTGTGTGTGTGTGTGTGTGTGTGTGTGTGTGTGAGAGAGAGAGAGAGAGAGTGCGTTCCATCGATAGGGCTAGCCTCACGCTACTTCCATCGATAGAATGTCGAAAATGAAATGAATGTTCTGCTACGAAATGAAAATCTATACTACTACACTCGTGTATGTGTGTGTGTGTTGAAGAAACAGGAAGCTACTGCACTTAACACAGCGCAGCAAACCATAACTCAACGAGCCATTCCGAACCTAGCGGACCCTTGCACCTTGGTCATCTCAGATTCACAAAACTAATTACCTGGGGGTCGCATTGAACTCATTCATCCAATATTTTGTCATGTCCATTCATGCAATTCGCGTCATTGGTGAGAGAACAGATACCAAACAGCTACAATGGGAGGCGTGACTTTATGCAATCAAGGCATATTTGCGATGTATCACGCATATATGCGGCCGTATATCTATGGCAGGATTGAGTCGAAAGAAAACAGCGGAAGCAGTATGCCATATTCGAAGCCAAAAAGACAGGTATAAGAGGGAAAACATTGCTTTTCAATTACCGACCAATACATCAAACAAGCTTGTAGACAGAAATACGAAAAGACCATTGAAGAGCATATATCCAGTGCCAACCCCTAAATGACTATGTGTATCACGTCTCCTATCGTCTAGATGCCTGGCATATCTAGCACATTTCTTGGAATATTATAAGCATACCTAGGATATTATTAATTCCGTCTCCCAGCATCTCATTTAGTTTCTTAGGACATGCCCGTTGCATTAATCAACGGCTTATACCGAATGCGAAGTTACTCCTCCACCTATGTATATTCCCGAAAAAACATCAATACATACTAGTGCAAAGGATAAGGAGTATACCAGGCAGATAAGGGTTGCAAACAAGTTGAACGACATACACACACAAGGTTCGGTATTCAGATTAGCGTCATATAGACAAAACATTCATCTTCCGCTGCCAAATGCTATGTAGAGGTCAGCGTTTCCAAAGCGATTATCATTAATTTATGCAATTACAATAGGAAGAAGGAAAACAGAAAAAAGAACATCACAAGATCCAGAATATGCTATCATCGTCGTTCCTCCTTGTATCACACTACGCTCGCTGAATCGATCCCCATATCCATCGGCGCAAGCACGTTTGATCAACACGGTACCCAATCTCTTGCTGGTTGCATATACAATAGAAGGAACACCGACGATCTGACCCAACGATACAAGATTAATACGCCGATCATTGCCGACGTAGTGACAACAGCGCAACACGTTTGAACGAGCAAATCGTTTTCATTGCATATCCCCTCCCCACCAGTCCAGATTCCCATCCATACCCGAGCCACCGCCATTGTTGTTGTAACTGCCCACATCTCCATTCAGACCAGAATCACAAGAAGGCAAGCAACCCCCTCCATCACTCTACTCCTTCCATCTCTCCACACTACGCCCGCTGAATCGATCCCCATATCCAACGACGCAAACACGTTTGATCAATACGGTGCCCAATCTCTTGCTGGCTGCATATACAATAGAAGGAACACTGACGATCTGACCTAGCGATACAGTATTAATACGCCGATCATTGCCGACGTAGTGACAACAGCGCAGCACGTTTGAACTAGCAAATCATTTTCGTAGCATGTCCCCTCCCCACCAGTCCAGATTCCCATCCATACCCTAAACTCCGCCATTGTTGCTGTAATTGAACACATCCCCATCCAGACCAGAATAACAAGAAGGCGAACAACTCCCTCCATCACTCTACTCCTTTTAGCAAAACTTTTGCTGTGTGGCGAATCCAGATGAGTTGCTGTTGGTATAGCAGAATCCGCAGTCACGTGCTCTGGTATAGCAGAATCCGCAGTCACGTGCTCTCAATGCACAAAATTCCATGAAAGCGAAGAAGGCAAGTAACGCTAGGAAGATCGCAAAGATCGATACTATAGCAACAGCCACATATGCAGACTCCATACGGAAAATTTCATTTTCGTAAGCAGCATCGGAGATGCCGGCGGGGGCCGTGGGGAGGGTTCTCTTTCCTTCTTGACGGCTCGCCCACCCTGGAATCGGATCARCCGGAGATAGGGTGCAGCGCCCGACAAAGCACCGCGCGTCCTGTGGTGTCCAGCGAGCCCCCGACGGCCCTTGAAAATCTGGAGCTGCGGGTACCTCTCACGCCCGACCGTACTCATAACCGCATCAAGTCTCCTAGGTGAAGGAAGAATGTAGGTAAGGGAAGTCGGCAATATGGATCCGTAACCTTGGGAACAGGATTGGCTCTGAGAGGTGGGCCTAGGGGTCTGCGCCTCGATGTCGTTGGCTGCCGGTGGTCTGCCCGAGCTGCTCTCGCGGCGAGGGCGGAGCCCGCGTGCCAGTGTGCCAACGCGCGTAGAAATTCTTATGTCCCCACCTTTCAGGTGGGGCCGTGGGACTCTCCCTAAGCATCAAACTGCTGACTCAGAACTGGTGCGGACAAGGGGAATCCGACTGTTTAATTAAAACAAAGCATTGTGATGGTCCCAACGGATGTTGACGCAAAGTGATTTCTGCCCAGTGCTCTGAATGTCAAAGTGAAGAGATTCAATCAAGCGCGGGTAAACGGCGGGAGTAACTATGACTCTCTTAAGGTAGCCAAATGCCTCGTCATCTAATTAGTGACGMGCATRAATGGATTAAYGAGATTCCMACTGTCRCTATCTACCATCCTGCGAAACCACAGCCAAGGGAACGGGCTTGGAAGAATCGGCGGGGAAAGAAGACCCTGTTGAGCTTGACTCTAGTTCGACTCTGTGAAATGACTTGAGAGGTGTAGAATAAGTGGGAGCCTTACGGCGCAAGTGAAATAC